AGCAAAACTGTACTACATGATTTATCCTCTCCTGCTCCCTTCACATCTATGTATTCTAAACCTACTGCTGCTTTAGATGCTGTGCCAGTATGTTTACTTCCAGCCAGTTCTCTCCTCGCACATCACAAACCATCTCAGCTTGTTCCCATTTTAAGAGGCTGCTTGGCAACTGGAAGGGTGACTCAGAGGAAGCATAAAGGCTGTGAAACACAATGTAATAGTATATGCTATATACATTGGCAGATGTCCACTGCTGGCTTTGGCAGCTGAAATGTTTTTTTGCTGTCCATACTGAGATTTTAATGGCCAGTTTACACAGCCATTGCCAGTTATGCATCTCACTTGACAATCAGATTTCACTCCCTTGTAGCCAAACAATGATGCAGGTGCTCCAACTGTCCCTCTGTACCGAAAGATTTCATTCTGTGCTGTCGGCTGAGGTATGATGAAAGAAAAATGCTGCTTCAAACTTCATTCTTCTCACTAGGACTACATTTGGGTTTTGATGTTGTTTCAGTTGCAGTGAGTCAGAGTCCACATGAAGTAGGAGTTTGCTTGGGGGAAAATCTTAATGAGTTCGGTCGCAGGCTTCATGAAAGCCTGGAAAGAAATAGTAAAGAACCACCAGCAGTGTTGTAGTTGTTGATGTCGGAGACATAGGTGCTTTTTATGACATTCCTCGTTGCAGCACCCCGAGGGAAAGTTGCACACAGGCTTCCAGAACTGGCTCCACTATTCCAGGGATCGCAGGGACCTATAGCTGCTAACGTTGCCGCATTTTAAATGTCACTTAGTACAATGCTCTTCCCAAGAAAATCCTTGCAGCAAAAGTAATAGAATTGAAGGATTTAGTATCTGATTCCTTTCCTGAAAAAAAACATTAATAGTAATGACAGGAGGTAGACTGGCTCATGTAGGAACAAAACTGTTTACATGTATAGTTGGCTATTTGTTAGTAGTTGTTTGTAGTTACAATTGGGGCTTTTTAGCTCCAGACGTTTCTCGATGGGACAGATTATCTAGATTGGTTTCAGTCTGACTTTAGATCTGGTTATGGGATGGAAATTTTTTGGTTTGCCTTGGTGGATGATTTATGCCGGGAACTGGACAAAAGGGGTGTTCCCCTATTGGTTCTGCTGGATCTCTGAGCAGCTTTTGATAATATCCACCATTGTATCCTCCTGGCCCATTTCTCTGGGATGGGACTTGGAGGCACTGTTTTATAGTGAGCCCTTCCTGGAGAAGAGAATTTAGAAGGTGGTGTTGGGAGAATCCTGTTCTACACCCTGGCCTGTGAGGTCCCTCAGGGTTCTGGTTTGCCTCTTATATTATTTAACATCTACATGAAAACACTGTCTGAGAGATTGTCCGGAGTTTTGGGTTTTCGTGTCACCTGTATGCAGATACTGTAACACCCAACTCTATCTCCTCTTGCTATCTAGATCCAAGGAATCTGTTTCAGCTCTAGATCAGAGTCTAGTGTCAGTAATGGACTGTATAAGGGCAAATAAACTGGAACATAATCCAGATAAGACCGCAAATTATGCAGTCGAGTTTCCCGCATTTGGGGAAACAGCAGGGATCAGCTCATGTGGTCCTGGTTAATTGAAAAGCAGATCAAGGAATAAGATTCAGCGTGTGCTGTATAGGGTTACACTCCCTTTGAAAACACAGGTGTTCAGCTTGGGGGTGCTCCTGGATTCATCTCTGAGCTTGGATGTCCAGTTTTCATCAGTGACCAGGAGTGCCTTTGCACAGTTGAAACTAGTGCACCAGCTGCATCCGTCCTTGAGAGATCTGATCTGGCCATGATGACACATGCTTTAGTTACATCCTGGCTGGATTACTATAATGCACTCTACATGGGACTGCCTTTGGAAAGTGTCAGGAAACTTCTGTGGGCCCAAAACGCAGCATCCCGATTGCTAACCGGGGCTGGTCACAGGGACCACATAATGAGAGCTTCGTGGCGCACTGGTTAAAGCGCTGTACTGCAGCTAAAACTGTGCTCACGACCTGGGGTTCAAATCCCAGATAGCCAGCTCAAGGTTGATTCAGCCTTCCATCCTTCCGAGGTCGGTAAAATGAGTACCCAGCTTGCTGGGGGGGGGCAATGTGTAGCCTGTATAATTAAAAATTGTAAACTGCCCGGAGAGTGCTTGTAGCACTATGGGGAGGTATATAAGTCCAATATATAAATGAATCAATCAATCAATCAATCAATCAATCCCTCTGTTACAGCAGCTCCACTACCTGCTGATTTGTTTCCAGGCAGAATTCAATGTGTCGGTTCTAACTTATAAAGCCCTAAACGGCTTTGGTGCAAGCTGCCCCAAGGACTGCATCTCCAGTTATAAGCTTGCCTGGCTGTTAAGATCATCAGGAGAGGCCTTTCTTTCAGTCCCTCCAGCTTCACAACTGCGTTTGGTGGGAAGAGGGGAGGGAGGGGCCTCTCTGTCCGCGCTGTCAGACTTTGGCACTCCCTCCCACAGGAGGTTAGGCTGGCCTCATCTTCACTGTCCTTCCAGGAGCGGACAAAGCACTTTTGTTGTTGCTTGTATTATTTACTATGCTGTTTGTTTGATCCTTTTAAGTATTTGTATATTTACTCTTTTAAGCTTTTAAATACTGTCTTTTAATGATGCAAGCTGCCTTGGGTCATTTTCAAAGAGAAGGGTGGGATAAAAGTATTTTAAATAAAGAAATCATTAATTAATCGTTGTGTTATTATGATTCAGAGAATTCAGTTTTTAGATGGTGCAGGGGAAAGAACAATTTGATGGTAGAACATCCTAGAACTTAAGATGCCTTCACTATCAGTTTTGTGCAGGATAGTCCCAGCCGTCTTATCAGCTTAGGCAGGATGCAACTGTGACTATGTCATTCCGTACCTAGTGACATGGTTGACATCACTATAGAGGGACATGCTCTACAAGAAAAAAAAATTCTCTCGCAATCTGGAACTCTGTGTACTTTTGCCAACATCATAGCTATGATGTTTAGGAACTTTAGTTATTGATTTAGAAACTGCTTGTTAATCACATTGCTGTGAATATTTCAAGATTCTCTGTACATACTTTGCTGTGTTGTCCTGAAAAGTCATCGTTTTGATTGCCTTGGTGGACGCGAGTCAGCTGTTTTAACAAAGAGGTACTACAGTATTATTAAAATTGCTTTGGAATTCAGTATTTCTAACTTTTAACAAAAGGACACCTTTGGCTGCATGTTACCGAGGAATGAATATAGCTCCAGAAAATACTTGTGTTGTATTCTATATTCTGTAGTAAAATCTTATTGAACTCACTGGTATTTAGTAATTAAGGGTTGTTAGTTGGAAAGTTCATGTGTATTGAAAGGAAAGACAAATATAGATTGCAGAGTATCCGTTTAGGCTGTATTCTTGGCATGTAATGTACTTCTTTACATGGGAATAAGCCCCACAGCAGGACTTACTTCTGAGTAAATATGTTAATAATATGTCTGTTGTAAAAAAAAAGTATGTACTGTAATTGCATCTCTGATTCTCATATAGCAGTGGCAGCGAACCATTTTAGACTCGAGTGCCCAATCGGGGGGGGGACCCAGCGCGTGGCGGCACCACCACCACCGGAAGTAGCGGTGATGGGACTGAAAGTGGCAGCGGAAGGGGGAATCCCAGGCACAGAGGTGCCTTGATACCCTGCTCTGGATCCACCGCGACGCTGGATCCTGGCACGCCACCTGTCAAAATGGCAGCACTGCGGCTGCAGCCGCTTCCTCTGGTTTGGCTGTGGGGGGGAGTAGCCATCTGCCGACTTATGGCTCGCATGCCTGCAGAAAGGCCTCTGCGTGCCAGCTGCGGCACGCGTGCCATAGGTTTGCCGTCGCTTTCATATAGGATCTTTTACTTTGCTCCTTAGTTGAAATTGTTCAACTTTTATCTTCTGCACTGCATGCCTGCTTTTTGTCTCATAAGAAATTATTGAATTTTAGAAGTCCAAACTTCTGCATAATTTTTAACAAATAAATTATTGCAGATTAAAATGCACTACTTTGCACACAAACATTGACACACAACTATGTGTATAAAATGCTCAACATATCAAACCTGCAGTGAACATTATTTCTGCTGCTGCTGCCAATACTGCTAAAAGATATTGCTGTCTTGAAACACCAGGACAAAAAGGAGCTATTGGGGTCATCAAGGCCCCGTGTGAAGATCTTTCCTTGTGATCTCTCACAATAAGGTAATGCACATTCACGGGCTCAAAATATCAGATCATTTAAATCTGCCCCCTAAAGGAAGTTCTTTAGCAGAGTAAGTTGCAGTTAGAGTAGACTCATCTGAATCAATGGAACTTACAGAGGAGTTGCCTTACTAAATCTACAGTGGCCTTTTCATATGGGTTACTATGCTAAGCAACAGAACCTTGACCAATGTCACGTTTGAAGTGCTCATTAGGCTGTCACAAAGAGTATGTCATTTGCATTATTTGGGAAGCTTGGTCACTCAGTGTGGATCTTTATTGTCACCCTACAAGTTTCCATAGTGTCCCTTAGAACAGTGGTCCCCAACCTTGGGCCTCCACTTCTGCTGGCCAGGATTTCTGGGAGTTGAAGTCCAAGAACATCTGGAGGCCCGAGGTTGGGGACCACTGCCTTAGAATGTGGCCAATATATTTTCCTCTACTGTGTGCTGTGCAAAATATATGTTGCAGGGCCTGTTTTTATTGCCTGCAGCGACTGATACTGTACTAAGCATTCCCAGAAAACCCTTTTTTATATATTGAATGTTTCCATGCAATCTGTGAGATTTGTCTACAAGGATCTTCAGTTCATATTTGCCTTGCCCTTATTTTAATAGATCTTTGTGGGAGATAGCAGTATAGTAAAGAACATGTTGGAGGAGCCAGCCTGTCAAGCACTGGAAAGCATCTCACCTTTTCTTCAAGAAGGGATATGGCCTCTAAAGCCATCCCTACCAGTTGGTCGATTGAGTCAGTGCCCTCAGGTAGCAGATGGTGGTTAAGTGGCAACAGAATCTTAAAAGACAGTCAAGTGCTAGCCTGTTGTCTTCAGGAGCAATGAAAAATACCGCGCACTGCACATGTTGAAGGAAGATTCAGGTGGCAAATCAGCTGGCTTCCATGCATGGAATCAGAAGGGAACATTATTGTGTTTTCTGTCCTAGCAGCAAAATACCTTTGGCTAGTCCTGATTTTAGTGCTGGGAAAGACATCTGTCTGGAATCCCGGAGAACTGCTGCTTGTTAATGTACCCAACAAAAAATAGATTGGCTAAAGACTTGGGGAGGGGCCTCCTTTATCCGAGTAAACAACCAAACTTCCCCAGTAATAAAGAAAAAGGAAGTACCACAAGATATTTCCAGTGCTCCTGGTTGTTTGGCCTGCTGGGAGAAGACAGTGGCTGAAATCCAGTAGTAAGTTGTAGCTAGAATAGGCCCATTAAATCAGTGAGGACTTGGTGAGTCAACTCCTTAATAAGTTCTATTGATTTAACGAGCTTACTCTGCTTGTACCTTGCTACTGGATTTTAGCTGTTATGTTTCCTTTTTCCACTGCTCAGGAATGGGTGGTGGGAGATTTAGCCTGATACTTGTTTTCTGATTTTATTTTTAAATAGAAAAACAGTTGAAACATTGTGTGTTGTCATTCTAGAGTAAAGGTGAAACAGTTGAAGTGAGTGTGACCCTTAATGGAGAATAAATATACTGTATTCCATTCTGTAATGTCTTTTGAGAGCTTTATGGGCCTCTGGACCTGAGACCATCCTTTATCCCAAATGAAATGTGGGCTATGGAGCAGTCTTTTCATGTTTTTGCATCTCTCCATGGAAGTGTGTGGAGTTCCTGGTAGATCAGTCAACACATGCTGGCCTGCTGTAAATGGGAATACCAGCACCGGTTTGGTTTACTTGTGTCCATGTTAATTGTTAATATAGTGCATTTCCCCCCCTTGCTTGCAGAATATGAATGAGGAGAGCTCAGTCAAAACATCTAAAGAGAAGGAACGCAGCAGCCCAGTGTGTGTCGGCAGAGAAGATGATCTTAAAAAAAACAAAAAAACAACAGCTAGTGTCCATGACAGAGAAATTGTTGTTTTCTATCACAACGGAAGGTTTTATGCTCTGGACTGCCGCTGTTACCGTAAGAATTTTGTAGCATGTATATCTTGCTTTTTTTTAAATAACCATAAATTTCATGAGATTGTTAAAAACATAAGAAAATACTTGTTGGATCAGAACAAAGGGCCAATCTGGTTTAGCATTCTGTTCCTATGATGGCCAACCAAATGGCCCTAGAAGCCCACAAGTAAGACATTAATGCAGTAACACCAATTGGTGTTCCCTAGAACTGGTATTCAGAAGCATCCTGCTTTTGATACTCAGGGTAACACTGAGCCATCAAGACTAGTAACTGTTCTAACTTCGTATTCTGTTCTTTCAACAGATGCAGGAGGTCCTTTGCACCTTGGTGAAATAGAGGTACGGCATAGCTTCTCTTGGCCGGCCAGCATGATGCCCAAAATCCTCAGGTTAACTGAGAGTACTTTTTCCACACAACTGCAGTAACACACAAATGCAAATGATTGCTTGATTAGACAGAACAGATGCTAAGATGAACTACACTTTAGGAATGTAGCTAGCAGCTGAAAAAAAACTTCAGAAATAGCTATGCTGCCCTACTCTGATTCAGACTCCTGAAACAGGAGTGTAAGAGCTTTAAGGAGCATCATGGTGCAGTGGTTAGACTGTAGTACTGCAGTCAAGACTCTGCTCACAATCTGAGTTCAATTCGAAGAGGTCAGGTAGCCAGCCAGTTCAAAATTGACTCAGCTTTCCATCCTTTCAGGGTTGGTAAATTGAGTACCCACCTGGAAGAGGCAATGTGTAGCATGGATTGTAAACCGCCCAGAGAGTGCTTTAAGCACTGTGGGGTGGTATATAAGCTGCACATTTTGCATTGCTTTTTAACCCTTTGTTACCTTTTATGGTCCTAATCTGGATCTAGTCCGCTCTGTTTCTACATTTTACATATCCAAAAAATATAGCTGATGCAGATGAGAACCACAGCAGGAGGCAAAGAGTTATCTCCTTCCCACAGATACCTGATCAGAAGCTGTTCCCTGGTACTCTTTTTTTGTTTGTTTTACTTTTAATAAGATGCTAACAGCTATTGATTGTGGGGAGAATCCTCTTAGAAATCCAGAGCCCCAGACCAAAACTTTTGTTACCTCTGGGTTTTACTTGTTTATTTATTTATTTTTCTGACATATCTGGGCCTGGTATGTCCCACCTTGAGTGCAGAGGATGAAAATCTAGACCTTGGTTTAACGGAGTTGCCTACCTCTGCCATAGAGTCTTCTTGATTTTGCTTTTAAAACAGAAACTCCATACTCCCCCTATAGAGGCAAGAAGAATTACAGGCTGTGTGGGATTCCTCTGGGTATGTATGTCATTTCTTTTTTCTTTCCTACTTTTTATGTGTAGGATATCAATGGACAAGCCTGCATTATTTGTCCCTGGCACAAGTACAAAATAACTCTGGCCACAGGCGAAGGACTGTATCAAGCAGTAAACCCCAGGGAGCCATCGTTATCTCCAAAATGGAGATCAAAGGGGGTAAAACAAAGGACTCATACAGTTACTGTGGAGAATGGAAATGTTTATGTAACGCTTTCAGATGTAGTTGACAGTATAGATTCTGATTACTATGCTGAGAAGTTCAAAAATATGATATATTCTACTGTGATAAAGTAACATCTGTGCTTCACTGTCTGCAGCATTAAAATAAATCCTAAATATGAACAACACTCTTAGTGTCTAAAAATTCATTATGTGTTGACCTTATGAAATATATTAAATTATGCATAAAATTTATAAACAAGCCTACAGACTTTCTCAGAAATCAGTTGAACAAGGGGGTGTTTGTGCCTTTGAGAAGGAAATACCAATAGTGTGTGAATAAAGTGCATTGATTCTACCCTATCTGAAACCCTTGTACTCAAAATGTTAGAAATTTTATATCATTCTAGTTAAACCTTCTAGCCTTCAGGAGTTTCTCTGTGGACATCATAAAATAATAAAAACATTATGTTAAACCATACTGTACTGGAGTTACTGTTTTTATATACTGTTCATAAAAGAGATCTACTAGATTTGGAAGTTTGATGCTTTTAAAACTTTTTCTTTTTGTACTTAATCCAAGCTTTTTTCAAACGGTTGCCAAGATTTGTACTGGTTTGTTTGTGAATGCCTGCATGTCTGTTTATTTTGCGGCATTATACATCATTCTGTGAACGAAGCAGGGAAGCAACTGGAAAGTGTTTCTACTTAGTACAACGCAGCAAAAATGCAACTTGCCTGTCTTAGCTGGAAGTTAAACTCCTTGGAAATGTTCCCCCTTCTGTCTGGAGAGCTGCAGAAATTGTTCCTGAGTCTGAAGCACAGCTGACATAAGCCCAAGAGTCAACAATTCTTGGGTTTATGTTGGTGGTAGTAGATATGCTGGCTGGGTGGGGCCTCTTTGTGGCAATACAGAAGAGAATGCATGTGTTTATGTGTTTGATGCAGAAAACTATTCAGGAATAAAAGGCTGTGTGGTCCAGATAGGCAGATCACATGCTAAAAAAGGTCAGAGAGGATGCAAAAAAGTGTATCATTTGTGTAAACACCCACATCCTGCTGACCTGACATGACTTCATTTTCATAGTGTGACGCTCATGGATTTGACACATGGCTGGCTGTTCTTAGCATGCTTATGCTTCCTTCAGTAAAATTACTCATTTTTATGTGGTTCTTAGGCACTTGCATGCCTTTGGGAGCGAAAGTGTTTTCAAGTTTGTTTTACTTTTAGATTTGTATGCATCACATAGGTATAGTAAAATAATTGTGTATATTTCCTTAGTGTTATGCAAATAATACTAGAATGCAAATTTTTTAAAATAAATTCAGGAAGCTTTTTTTTTACTTTCTCATAGAGAATAAAAGGCAGAGGAGTGTCAAAGGGATCCATGGGTCCTGACATAAAGGGCCAATCCAAGCTTCTTTTATATCAATTTTATTAACGAAACCAACGAGAGAACTCCAAATTGCTTTAGCTGTTCAAGTCCTCCTTTGGTTTGCCCCATTCAGTCCAAATCTGGGCAGCTCATACATGTTCAAAAGGGGGAACAGTTACTTCACCCTCCCCATGCATGTCTCTAGAGGCTCAAAACTGTCTTTGTCTCTGCCCCCTGCTGTGGGTGGAGGTGGTCATGCAGTGGATGGCCAACATTTCAGCTTCTAATAGCTAGGGATAATGGAATTGCCTCTGCCTCCTCCACCATCACAGCTGAGTGTTGGGGTAGGCAGTGCTCGTGGCAGCTGTAGACTCCTCTGAGCTGTGGTGTCCCATGGCCAACTGACACTCGAAGCTTGCAGTACTTCCTTGGGTAGCTCAGGTTGGGGCCACACTGGTGCCCTTGTCATCCTCTTCCATTCTCTCTTCCTTTGCCTGATGCCACCACTCCTTCCCGACACTGCCTTCTCCCAGCCATTTTATACCCTTTAGGTCACCCTTCCCTTTTCTAGATCCTCCTGACCCTTGCTCTTTACCCTGAGCCTCACACTTTCCAAAAGGTTCCTTGCCCTCTAAACCCTCCAGGGAAGCCCCTCCTGTTGTTTTCCATTGGTGACTCTGGTGAGATTGGCAGCTTCAGAGTCCGTAGTGTAGGGTCACCCTGGGGAGATCACCCAGGGGATGATGGGAGTAGATGGCACAGGGGATGGACTGATCCTGGGACCCCTTCACTAAAACATTTTCTCCATTGTTGAGCACCAGTCCACAAATGGTAAAACCATGTTGAATAATTCAGTTCGATATGGCATCCCCACGCTGGCACTATAGATCTATGGGATATTTAGGGAATGGATGTGGAGATGCTGAATAATAGCACAGCAGTGCACTTGGTAAAAAATTCTACCACCATATTCTATAGGTAAACTTTTCAGCCGCCGCCACATAGGGGTCCATAACACTTAAATCAGGCTTTGGATTTCTGCTACACAAGAAATTCTGTCCTTTGTTGCTAGATAGAGGCAGAGCCCTTTTCTTTTACCCGGCAGAATCTGGATGGGAAAGATTTTTTGAACAGCCAAGATTCTTTACACGGTAACCTTATATAAGCCTGTTGTTTAGGCTGGGATTGCAAGAGCAACGTGCCATTCGCAAATAATATGTGGCTAGTTGACAAGCAATATTGTAAATGAAACAATTGGGCTCCATGATCACACTGCAGCTGGTGACAGCAGCCACAAAATTAAAAGCCACCTGCTTCTTGGGAGGAAAGCGATGACAAACCTCAACAGAATCTTAAAAAGCAGAGATATCACCTTGCTGACAAAGGTCTGCATAGTCAAAGCTATGGTTTTTCCAGTAGTGATGTATGGAAGTGAGAGCTGGACCATAAAAAAAGCTGACCACTGAAGAATTGATGCTTTTGAATTGTGGTGCTGGAGGGGACTCTTGAGAGTCCCGTGGACTGCAAGGAGGACAGACCTATCCATTCTAAAGGAAATCAGCCCTGAGTGTTTACTGGAAGGACAGACCCTGAAGCTGAGGCTCCAATACTTTGGCCATCTTATGAGAAGAGAAGACTCCCTGGAAAAGCCCCTGATGTTGGGAAAATGTGAAGGCAAGAGGAGGAGGGGATGACAGAGGACAAGATGGTTGGACAGTGTAATCAAAGCTACCAACATGAATTTGACCCAACTCCAGGAGGCAGTGGAAGACAGGAGAGCCTGGTGTGCTCTGGTCAATGGGGTCACGAAGAGTCAGACATGACTAAATGACTAAACAACAACAACAAAGTGAAACAACAGCACCCGTGTTACATCTCTGCACTACCCTTAATGTATTGATTTCTGTTTGAAATTATATACAATATTCTAGAGCTGTATTCTGCAATGTTGCTGAATTTTGTTTTTAAAATAACTCTGTGGGAAAACAAACTAGTAGAGTTAATGGGAAAAAGACTGTGGAACTAGGAGTTTCATATACAGGGCCAGCTAGGATAACCTAGGTCTGTATTTAGGAAGTAATAGGAATTAAGACTGCGAAAATGGCATTGTAATCATTAAGTACTTGTTAATTTTTTTTCTGCTTTTAAATTTAGATTTTGGCATAGCACACTGTCACGCACGCACCCCCAGTGTCCCCTGTTTGTTTTCCCACTCACACTGGTTCACCTTCGGACATGACTTGTTCTTGTCACCCTTTTTCGCTGCCACCAGATGATATTACCCTCACTGTACCAATTATGAATCTCAGACTATTGTTGCCAAATGTAACAACATTTATTTATGGTTTGGTAGGAAAATCACAGAAGTAAAATCATGGATGTTCTTTTATTATTCATTCAATAAATGTGGATTTGATTACATGTAAGCTTACTTGTATTCATTCACTTTAATTAAGGTTTCAATATATTCTGACTGCCTATGCATTTCATATTACTTTTCTCTTTTATATTCTCTAACGCCCCACCAATCTCTTTCGCGCACTCCCAGTGTCCCCTGTTTGTTTTCCCACTCACAGGTTCATCTTCGGACACGACTTATTCTTTTCACCCTTTTTCGCTGCCACCAGAGAATTTTACCCTCACTGTATCAATTATGAATCTCAGACCATTGCTGCCAAATGTAACAAGGTTTATTTATGGTTTGGTAGGAAAATCACAGAAGTAAAATCATGGATGTTCTTTTATTATTCATTCAATAAATGTGGATTTGATTACATGTAAGCTTACTTGTATTCATTCACTTTAATTAAGGTTTCAATATATTCTGACTGCCTATGCATTTCTTATTACTTTTCTCTTTTATATTCTCTAACGCCCCAACTTTCCAATCTCTTGTCTAAACACTTCCCAATCTACTCCCTCACTGTCTCTCTGTCTCTCCCAGTTCTGTTGACTCCGCCCCTCCTGTCCTTTCATAGGCTCCTGCACTAGAGCTCTAAAATGACTGACAGGAGTGACGTGTGGGCTGTCCACCACACACACGTTCCAACAATAATTAATTCTGATTTTATCACACATTTGGCAAGGTTGCTTTTGCAAGTTGATTTGTTTTTTTTTCCAGAACTTAAAATATATGTACTGATGGCATTAAAATGGATTTCACTGTTTTGAGGGTCTTTTCAAAGTTTCCAAGTTCAAGATATAGTAAAACCTTTACTAGAAAACACACATATATTTGCATGCACGTACACACGTACACACACACACACACACACACACCAGATTACTTGATTTTTTTTCTAATAGTTTATCTATTTGCATGCACGTACACACGTACACACATACACACACCAGATTACTTGATTTTTTTCCTAATAGTTTATTAAACTGATTTCTGAACCTCTTCTTTCTTTGCTTTTTCTTTTTAGCATGCGGGCTGACTCTGTATGTGTAATGTTGACATTTGCTTACTAGAAACGAAGAATATGTCCATATAATTGTGCAAGCAGTCAGTATGCAAACAGAAAGACAGCAGCTATTAATACAGTACTCTGTAAAGAAACATTATTGCTCATTTTCTTGATCCATTGCTAAAAGTAGTGTATGGATGCTTCCATAACTTTTTGATGTCTTGTGAGCAATCTGTGAAGATCCTTGCTGGGCAGGGTTAGTTGCAAAGTCACTTGCTGTTTCATTTACTCTGGAAAATCCATCTGCATCCACATCATCACTGCTGCTTTCCCTCGAAGCATCTTCTGTATGAACGATGCTTTTTATCTTTCCCAGAATTTTGTTAAGGGAGACTGCCTGTGTAGATAAGATACAGATTTTAAATTAAAGACGTTGAAAGCTCTTTGTACTCTGTATTTCTTTCTAATGTAAGAGACAGACTTTGTACTATATTACTTATATTATCTAGAATACATTAATAACACAAAAAGGTGAAGTGCCTTCCAGTATCTCCTTGACTGTGCTGGCTGGGGGATTTGGGGAACGGTGATCCAAAAAGTTACTCTTCCAAGTTCTGACATTTAATGTCAGGCAGCTTCTCTGAAAATGCAAGAAATGAAGGATCATTTTAAATCGGCTGCTGTTCTCTGGGGTGTGACAGGTGGAATCCTACTAGTTCTCTAATGATTTATTCAGGGTTGATTACCTACTGGTTAGTGAGAAAGTAATGTCATTCTCTTAGCAGACTGGTATCCCTAGAATACTATTGTGTTCTCTAGAACAACGGTCCCCAACCTTTTTGGAACTGCGGACTGGTTGAGGGGGGCGGGGACACCCCCATGCTCGCGGGGTATGTGTGTCGTGCATGCACACGAGCACGGTACCTCACACACACACGTGGGTGTGACATGCCCCCCGCGAGCACCACATGCCCACTACGCGGGGAGGCGGAGAGCTGTCTCCACGGCCCAGTCCTGGAAAGCCCACGGACTGGCACGGCCACGGACTGGAGGTTGGGGACCCCTGCTCTAGAACAGAGGTCCCCAACCTTTTTAACACCACAGACTGGTAGGGGAAGGCAGGGCAGGCAGGGCACCTGCTTGTGCACATGCGCAGAGAGGCAGGCATGGGCGCACATGCACTCGCACGCATGCACGAAGGAGCTAGAATAGTTCTGTAGGATCCATGTTCTTTTAATTTTGTTAGATAAGTTACAAAAGTACTGTAATCAATCCTGCTAATACTGCTTTGTGTGTAATTTTACTCCAGGTTTTTATTGAGCCTCAATACATAATTTATCAGAATGGATGAATGACCACTTGGAAATTTATGTTGTCTTCCATTTGCAATCATTCTGTGTTTTTCTTTTGCTTATTATGTCTTTTTTCTTATCATAAGGGGAAAAAAAGAAAAAAGAATAGATGCACAATGCCTTTTGATGAATAGCATTAAAACTGTTTTCTTTGGAATCTCCCTAAATGCTGGTAGCTATCATCTGTGAAAAGAATGGTGTGGAAATTTAGGATAGATGAAATTTTGAAATAGGGTAGGGAGTATGTGGTATTTTCCTACACAAACAACTTTAATCACCCATTCCACTGCACAGCAGTATTTCAATGTAAAGACACAAATGTTAGCAAATAAATCATTCCATTGGTAACTGAAGTATAAAAGTGTGTACTAAAAATAACAATGACATAATGATAAATTTATTTCCTGAGAATAAAGGTACCATTATGCAAACATGAGAGAAGCTGGAACTGGAGAATGGTATTTATTATGGTATTTATTAACCTACCAGACAAATGAGTGCTGCATAAGAAGCACACATTACACTGGTGAGAGCAGTCCTTGCTGGATAAGAAATGGCATCATAAAAGAACACAGTCCTGTTCTGAAAAGAGAAAAGAGTCAGATATGGCATTCATTAGTCTCACTACAATCTGGGCATGATTCTTTCAGGGCTGAGCACTTTCGAATCTCACTCATTTGAATGGAAGAATTTACAGCATGGGCATATTTCATTGAAATCAGTGGGTCAAATTGCTGAATCTCAGATGGATTGTGCATAAAGATTTTAGGGGTCTGAGGCCAGGGCTCTTACAGCTTGGGAGAAGCTAACCCAGCAACCCTTTTCGATCCACAGCCCCCAACGGCCTAATTTCTCTTTGAATCCTTGGTATAAAGCTGCCACCAACCTCCTCTCGATTTCATGCTTTAAAGACAAGCAAAACACTCTGGTAGTATGGGCCAAGAATAGTGAGGTATCTGGACTTAGATGTGAACCAAACGTAGCTCTGCACGAGTGAAACTTCCACACCACAAGTTGACTGTTTCTAAAGAGTTAATTTTACTAAGGACAAAACAGGTGAAACATTGTCAAAGGAGTTAACCCGTGAGGTTATACAGACTGCTTCACCATCACCTAGGCAAGGCACAAGATTAGCAATAGGCAATCTACCAAAACACAGTCATTTTAATCTAGCTTGTCTCTATCTGTTTAGGCTTAGCTAAACTGCAGTCCCTTAAGTATTGTATTACGTATTGATTCTCCAGCCTGAGAATCCATCCTCTGTAGCGGTCATATTCCTCTGGTCGGGAAGGCAGTAGCCCAAGCCCTCCCTGTTGGGATGTTGTCTCAGTAATTAAAGTTTTTGGCCGTTTAGTTATTCCTGCTATCTGGGCCAAAAGGCAGATCAAAAGGGCCTTTTATCTAAAAACTTACTAGTCTGTATGGGTGAGCTCTTTCCTGAGTATATCTGCATATGGAGGGGGTCTAGCCCAGAGTCAGTCGTCCCTGCCTTCCTACACCAAATGGGGATTTCACTAGCCCATGCTTAAAGGGACACTTTGAAATGTGTATTTACCATCTGTTGGAAAGCTTCTCCTAAAGAGTGTGATATCATCTCTGGCATTTTGTTTTATGTCTCTGGCATCCTGACCTCAGGGTTTCTCCAATATCTTCACATTGTGTGCTTGTTTTAGTATGTTGGGCATGTTCCTAGTACTGTATAATGATCTCAGTCTAAAGTATGGTTAATATGAATGGCTTTCACTGGTTTCCCTAAGCATACTGACTTGGGAATAAGTCCTATTGAACTCAATGGGTCTTACATCCAAGTAAATAATGTATGAAAATGAGGCAAAGCACATATCTGATAGAGAAGTCTTTACACGATGAACCCTAGGCCACAATGATGTTCCTGACATCTCTTTTTAGTTTTACTATGACAGACTTTGATGAAGAAACAGGAAGCTGCCTTATAATGAATTGGATCACTGGTCCACCTAGCTCAAGGGTGAACAATCTCAGTGGTCAGAGGTGAGATGTGTGCCCTTAGGCCCCACATTAGCAGACTCTGAAGATGGCTATTTGAAAAAGAAAATGGCTATTTTCAATATTCCCTTTCCCTCTGTCTCCCTATCTTCTCTGGACAACGTAGGGTGGGCTGGCACATAATAATAATACTTGTGTGTTGTAAATTCTGACTTATAGTGACCCTTTCCAGAGTTTTCTAGGTAGACAACACGCAGAAGTGGTTTACCATTCCCTTCTTCTGGGGGCATCACAGGATTTTGCAGCTTGCCCATGGCTACACAAGTTGGCTCTTTTTTCAGGAGGCACAGTGGGGAATCAAACTCTCAACTTCTGGCTCTGCAGCTAAATAGCTAAGCCACAGCAAGTTCTCTACCTTAGCTCTGCACACTGGGAGATTCATAATAATCAGAATGGCAGTTTTTGGGAAGTGAGACATTAACCTTTTACTCCATGTTGCTCAGAAGCTGGTATTTACTTTGGAGAGAAATTAGTGCCAGTGGATTCCCTCAAAGAGACAAATATGAGCTGTAGCAGCAGGAGAAGCATGTTCCTCAGGATCACAGCAGGTGAGGAATTTATTAAATCTCCCTTTAACACCTGGAATCTGTTCCTATTAATATTCTCTCTCCATCTGTTTCTAAAACACCTGCTGCAGTCCGCAGCTTTTAAAAGCTGCTGTAGTTGCTAAAGCCATGAAGAGAACTTGGGATATTTTCTGTACAAAATATGTGCACTCCTGTGGATCTTCAGCATTTCCCTCCAATAAATGTTTATCCCCATTTCTGACTCTGTGTCTGCTGCTTGTTGAACTACAGATTATAGTTTTGACTACATCGATATCTAGAGTAGAGGCTTTTAGTGACCAAGACAACCATGTCAAGGCACATTTCCTTACAATTAGTTCTCATACTTTCCCTCTCTGAGATAGAGATGGAATGCTTAAATACAGATCAGTTGTTTGCACATGCATTCTGCTTAGTGAAATAGGGAAAGTTAAGATCAATGGAAGCAGAAGGGCAAAATAACAGCACCTAACTGCAGTGGCTACAGATGAGTGTTGTGGTCATATTCATGAATGGGTGGCTACCATTTATTGCTGTGGGCTAAACCGCAGAAGCCTGTGCTGCAGGGTAAGAAGACCAGCAGTTGTAAGATTGAATCCACGTGACGGAGTGAGCTCCCGTCACTTTGTCCCAGCTCCTCGCCAATTTAGCAGTTTGAAAGCATGCAAATATAAGTAGATAAATAGGTACCACCTCGGTGGGAAGGTAAAACAGCGTTCCCTAGTCACGCTGGCCATGTGGCAATGGAAACTGTCTTCAGACAAGCGCTGTCTCTATGTATTGAAAATGGGATGAGCACCGCCCCCTAGAGTCGGACACGACTGGACTAAAAATGTCAAGGGGAACCTTTACCTTTAACGGGAAAAAATGGGTTGGTTTAGTTGTAGAAACGAAGGGTTAAATCCAGACTTATGCTCAGGTATAGATGGACCACAATTAGACGCAGTAATTTATTAAAATCTTAAAATAAGTCCATTTTTCACAGCATGAACCTCCTTCCTTCCTTGTCTTACAGTTCACTTTGTTTTGTTAGGTAAAGCACGGGGAAGTAAACATGGGTTTTGTTTGAAACTATGCTCAGCTATGAATGGTTGTTTGCAGTGATATAACCTTCAGAGGACATGGTATTTCTAGCATTTGATTTGATCTGAGCCATTTGAAATTCATGGAACTTGGAGTGGTTATAGCTCACTTGGAACCCCACCTAGTAACTTCAAGGATTCTGTGGTAAAACTCCGATACAAAATGTGAGGAAGGTAGGAATCCAGTTTGTTGCCTACCTTCACTCTATACAGAGGTTGTTTTGGAGTACTTAGTGTATTCAAAAGACGATGTGATATCATATTTAACTCTGCTAACTTTTTAGCAAGCTGTGGCTGCAGTAATTTAGCAACAGATTTTGATGAACGAGATATTTTAGTTAGCCCATTCATAATGATTGCTCCATGAGCTGAGGAGAACACCCTGGCCATAAGTGATCCAGATTCCTTCACAGGTCGATTGCTTTGCTAAAACAGAAGTGAAAAGAAAAAAATCAGTAAAATTATTGACATGAGAGATGGTCAAGTCAGTACAATATGATGGGTGCAGGTGGACAGTAGATTGTAATCTGCTAATAGATCTCTGGGGTAGATCTTTAAAAGACTCAAAATCCCAATGCTATAACAAGAGCAAGTAGTCTTTGTCTGGAGTTGGGGTCCTAACCTTTGCTATGACTGATCTTGTGCTATTTGCTTACATCTTAGACTTAGGAGTTCCTTGTATAGTATATAAAACAAGAGTCTTGCTGATCAGTTCCTTTTGCTTAGGCGTGTTGAGTTGTTTTTGAGTGGTATATTATAATCTCTGATAACAATGACATGCAGATATCTGTGTAGTTTAGTATATGCTTCATAGCATGCAGTAGATTTGGTAATCTGCTCTTTGAATCACCATTTTGTGTCTCGTTCCGGTCAGTAGACCTCAGATTTCTACTAAAAAGTAAGACCTTTCCACCAAATGTGAATTCTGCCCACCATGCATTGGGAAGTTTATGTATTTATGTGTAGCAATTGGAATCATATTGAAATCCCAGTATTCATCTTATTGGCATTGGGAAGGGAGGAACCAAACTCCAAACCTAGTACATCAAGAATTAAGTGTGACTATGAAAGACTTGTTTTGGCATCCTGGCTAATAGACCTTGGAAGCCTGGGGGGAAAAAACATCAAAAGATATGTATCGTGAGTTCATTTAAGAGCATGATACTTTTGAAAATTACATACAGTGCACAAGTGAGTAGCACTGCTAGGATTCTGCACAGAGGAATAAGAGAGAAATATCTCTTGAGGAAAACTGCACCATTCTATTGCAATGTGTCACTTGTTTCTAAATAATCAACAACAGCAAATTACCGTATTTTTCGCACCATAAGACGCACTTTTTTCCCACAAAACAGGGGGGGTGGAAAGTCTGTGCGTCTTATGGAGCGAAGAAAACAGATTATATTTTTCTGTTTTCTTCTCCTAAAAAATTGGTGCGTCTTATGGAAAGGTGCGTCTTATGGAGCGAAAAATACGGTAAAATACATAGGACAGCCACAAGTTGCTTTTGACTAATGACAACCCTATGAATTAAGGACCTCTAAAAGATCCTATCTAATATTATGCTCAGGTCTTGCAGACTCCAGGCTTTATCTTCCTTTATTAAATCAAGACATCTCATCTTTAGTCTTTCTCTTTCTTACTGCCGTCAACATTTCTAGCATTATTGTCTTTTACTGTTGTGTTCTCTACCCAACAATGTTTGAGCAACATCTCCTCTCCTGGCTTACCTTTGGATAATTTTTTTAAAAAAGAAAAGACAGAGCAACCTTCATCCTGTCTCATCCTGTATGCCTGGTTCAAAGCAACCTAAGCAGTACTGTACTGAGTGCTTCAGTGGGAAGGAGGGTATTATGTATGCCTTATGACTGGCTTTGGAGGCCTGTTCAATGACCTATCTCCTACCACCATAGATGGTGAGAGCATTCAAGCTGCTGCTGGTAAATACTAAGAATGAACTGTATTCTGCGAATGGTAAATATAACATACAGTATTTTAAACAGTTTATTTTATAGAGAAACCAAATATTGAAATAACAAAAATAATAATTCAGAAATCTTACCTGGTTTGAATTTGTCAGTCTCAGTAAATTTGGAAATTCATCCCTAATCTCATCTATAATTTCCAGGAAGGCCCTCTGTATGATCTCAGCTGAATAGAAAAGCAGTTGTTAAATGAATAAAATCTCTAAATTAGACTTTATTTATAAGCGTTGCTGATATGTGAAAGATTTAAATTGATCTGAATGCATAAATAACTCTACAGCATGAGTACCAAAGTCTAGGATAGCCGACTGTGTTTGTATGAATAGCAAAATCATATTCATCACTTAATTATTATTGGAATGTAAAATGTCAGTCATCTGCAGGTCTTCCAGGCTCTGTCCATGTCCACCTCATTCTTTCAGATGCAAGCTATAACACTCCAAAAGCCACAACAGCTTTTTCCATTCCTTTCAATATACTGTTCAGTCCCCTTCGTTTATGAGCCAGATCCCACCTTACTATGCCAGCTACCTCTGCCTTAGTGTAGTAGGCCCATCATTGCTTATTATACAGCACATTCTTTGAATGCTGAAATACTCATATTCATCTCTTGCTAGCTTTAGTTAAAATGCTGTTTTGTAGCATGGATTTGGCAGCCTCCTTCTGCTTGAGCCTCAAAGTACTGCTGTCAATAAAAATTGAAAATGGCAAGCTAGAGGGAACCATGGTGTGACTTAAGAATAAGGCACTTCTGTTATATGCAACATAACTTTCTTCTGATTCATTCCCCTAGTTCTACTTTCTGGAAAATAGATACCAACTGCATCACACTATCCTGGAATAATTAAATTCAGAGAGCCAAGCTAATTTCTGAAATCTCTGGAGGGGTAGGAAGAAAACAAGCATATTTTACAAGAAGCAGAAGTGCATATTTTGGGGAACATTGCCCAGTTCTCAGTATTTAAACCTAGGAAATATCTACCTGGTGCTTCCAACCTTGAAAGGCATAATTTTGAAAGATCTGTGGCAGACCCTCCTCCACAACATGTATAGTATACAGTTATAGTTTTGTTATTGTAATCGGATATATTGTGTGAGATACAACATACTAGTCAGATGTGAGTGTGTGCATGCACAAACACATACAACTGGTAGAAATACTTAAAAATGTATTAAAAAAGCATAAGGAAGGAGGTGTTCCTTCAAGTTTTGCTCATCTGTTCCAGGCTGGAGGGTTAAAGATACGTAGACATAGAATGACTCATACCTTGCCCAACAAATTTTCTGACCATCTCCCCACAGATCCAGCCAATTGGCCTGAGAGACATTCTGTATGTTATTTTTGTGTCTTTCTGCAGCAACAAATTTGAGTATAGTGTGCCCTGGTTTAGCTTGTTTTTCAGGCCACCAATGACAGTACAGTATCCCCATATATACACATATGCCTCTGTCCAAACTAAGAAACCTTTGTGAGATCACAATGTGCCTCTTAGACACAGTACTAGCTTGACTCCTGATGCCTAAAGTGTCATGTGTACAAAACAAAATTGTCTCCCCTTAGATTTCTATCGATGCCCTATATCTACAGATGAAGGGAAATGAAATCACATTAACAGAATCTAAATTCAAGTATTTTAAAATAGTTTGAAACACTTTCAAATAAATGTTTTCCAGTAAGTCTCATCTTGTAACATGTCCAAAACACAGTAGCCTCAATTTAATCATACTAACTTTTAACATTTGGCTTAAATCCAAGTATTTAGGCTTACCTGGCCTGTAGAGTGTCAGTATGCTAATTGGTCATTTAGTATAGGGCTTCAGCAATAACTACAGAAAATTGATACATGAAGTTCTCTCTTTTCAGGAATTGAATGGAAAGTATTTTGTTTCATTTTCACTTTTTTAGAAACCATAATGGCTTGGCATTTTTTTTAGAAACCTTAATGGCTTGGCTCACATCTGTCCAAACTAAGTTCTGTTGTGCTGGGGGGGGAATTTTGTTGTTTTCCCCCTCTATATTCCTCTCAGAATTTACTTTTAAAAAAAAATTGTCACGAGTGCAAAGAGGCCTTTACAATAAAATATTTCTTTTGATGTATTTTGGGGCTGGTGGGTACAGACTTGGGTATGGCTCTTTAAGGTTCTGGAGTGTATGTATGTAGCCCCCACAGTCCTGGAAGATTCTAATTCATAGAAGTCAGACAGGCTTTGCAAATATGTGATGTAATCCTATAATGTCCCCTCAGAAGTAAGTCTCAATGAAATGGGTGGGGCATATTTCCACATAAGTGAATACAGGGCTGAAGTGTTATTGACATCCAACAAATACTGACACATGATTTAAGGCTGTCAGCTGAAGGACAAGAAATAGAGCAGGCAGGATAAGAAATCTGCCTGTGACAGTTTTCAGTGAGCGAGTATCCTTGAGTACAGATGTGAGCCATAAAACCTCCTCAGCAAAGTCCACACTGTAAGGTTGGGAAACAGGCAGCCTGTTCCAACAAAGGAAGTCAATTTATCCTGAAATTTGGGAGCAAGGTGCCCTATTGTAAACTGTTGTTTCCATTATACACATTCAAAGTATGGAAGTCCTCCAATTCTACAGCATGCAGTAGAGGATGGCCTCAGTTGAATTCTTTTCCTATCTCCTGCAAGGCTACATTCCTCTTCTTCAAGACTGGCTTAAGACTTGAGTTTTCCTGCTCTTAGGGGCAAGCAGCAATGTGCAATGTTTTATTGCAAGTTATCTGAGTGATACATACTTCCTAGAAGAACCAAAAAGGTATAGCTCATAAATTTAAAAATGCTCGTTGTTTTTATTTGCTTTCAATGGATGGGGAAATCTGGGATAGGAATATTACATTGCTCTTTGCTCATTTAATTCAACTTCTCAGCAAATTATTTTGTTAATAGTTTACCTTCTTAACAGTTTTTAACTGTTTTCCATGTACTGCAAACTGGGCCATTTTCTCTGTACACAGGTTAATCAGTTGCCTTTAATGTGTATGGCTTTCGTTCCTCTACAAACTACTGATCTGATCTTAGAGCTTTACTGTTTAGTGGTTGCTGTATTCCAATGAAAATCTACTTTTATGTGGTGACCCTCAAAAGCTATCACTGATTTGACTTAATTCTTGTTAATTTTAGCCCATATTTGATTTAGTTATCTTTTTTTCTTCTGTGTAAGTGGACAGTATAACTTCTATATACAAAATATTAAGTATAAATTCCTCCCAACCTAGCAGTTTGAAAGCATGTAAAAATGCGAGTAGATAAATAGGTACCACCTTGGTGGGAAGGTAACAGCGTTCCGTGTCTAGTCATGCTGGCCACATAACCACAGAAACTGTCTTCAGACAAACGCTGGCTCTACGACTTGGAAACGGGAATGAGCACCACGCCCTAAAGTCGGACACGACTGGGCTAAATGTCAAGGGGAACCTTTACCTAAGTATAAATAGGATAATACTTTGGGTCCTAGAGCAAGGATGGGCAAAATATGGATTGCATGTGCCAGGAAGCATTTTGAGAACCAGTTAACACGTATACCGTTCAGTACATAATGACTTCCATAGGTTTGAAGAACCCCACAGAATAAGTAGAATAAAAAGAAATGTGCTAGTATTTTCTTTAATATAAAATCACAAACAATAATATGCAATAAGAACACAGTATTACAGAATGCGTGTGTTGCTAATACATAATTATTACCTCAAAATAATACTATTTAACACTGCTGAAGTTTTCTTCCTTCTAAAATATCAAATATATCATTCAAAGTATATTCAAGGTTTTTCAGAAGTTCTTCTAAGTCTTCCTCTGAATAGTTAGTTATAATGCATCCTATCCAAGTATCAAACACATTATAACCCACACCAAAACCATCTGGCACCACTGGTCCAAACCCACCATAATGAACTGCTGGACTGCCTAATGTACTAGTTGAAACAATAATATGGTTTATATTTTTATAAGCAGGGTCATTATAAATATCAGGAATACGTCCACCTCTGCGCTGGACAAGGTACTTCAAGGCAAATAAATGGCGATCAAATCCTTGGCCTGGATACAGAAAAACAGCAAATGTATTGAATATGAGTATGCAGAATCTAGTAATTTACTTGTAAAAAAATACTCATTATAACTTTTTATAGAACAATAAGGAAACATCAGGCACAGTCCAGCTGAAGTTAAGCATCTTGGAGATATTTTGATTTTATCCATGTATATCATTCCCCATTTGAATTAATATGATTTTGAAAGACTTAATATCAGGTGGACTGTGCTTCTGATTTCTTATGCCACATCACATAATTTGTGATGATCTAACAGTAGTAAAAGAAAAGTAGTTTTTCATGATAATATTTATTTATTTATTTCATTTGTATGTTGCCTTTCTTGAGAACTGGGACCCAAGGCAGCTTACAGAACAGTTTAAAACAAGAGAAGATTAAAATGATACTACAAACTTTAAAACAGAATTTAATTTAATTACATAATTAAATTTTTAAGACTGATTAAAACAATTTAGATGAAAATTGTAGTAATAATTTACCGGGAAATAGTGAAAACCAACACATCAACTGAGATGGTAATTGCCAAACACCTGCTTAAATAAAAATGGTCTTCACCTCTTGCTGGAAGGAGATCAAGAAGGGGACAAACCTAGCCTTTCTTGTCAAGGTGTTCCAGAGCCTGGGCATTGCCATTAAGAGGCCCAACTCTCAAGTCCTCATCAACTGGGCCTTTGAAGATGGTGGTACTGTGAGAAGGGCTTCTCATCTTAAAGCCCAGAGAGTTGTACAGGAGGATACAGTCTTTCTAATAACCTGAAGCCAAGTTTTATTGATTGGTTTTATAGATTGTAACCAGCATCTTGAATTGAATGGACTAGCACCAGGCACTTTTTAACAGAGCCTTGTGGCGCAGTGGTTAAACCGCTGTACTGCAGCCAAAGCTGTGCTCACAACCTGGGGTTCAATCCCAGGTAGCCGGCTCAAGGTTGACTCAGCCTTCTATCCTTCCGAGGTCGGTAAAATGAGTACCCAGCTTGCTGGGGGGGGGCAATGTGTAGTCTGCATAATTAACTTGTAAACTGCCCAGAGAGTGCTTGGAGCACTATGGGGCGGTATATAAGCAGCACACTTTTGCTTTGCTTTTGGAAGGAGTTATATGTTCCCTAAAACTAGCTGCAGCCAGCAATTTGACTGCACTAGTTTGGGTCTTAAGTAGAGACCCCACTGTATATGTTCCCTAAAACTAGCTGCAGTCAGCAATTTGGCTGCACTAGTTTGGACTAGTTTTGGAACATTCTTCAAAGGCAGCTCCTCATAGCACACACTGCAGTAATCCAGTACAGATGTAACTAAGGCAAGTCAAACATCTCCAGGAACATGTGGTAATGGTGCACCCCCTCTATTCTTCTTCCAGCACTTCTGCTCACTGCTGAGCACCTAGGCTAAATAATTAATCCAGCACTATACATAAATTGTGAACTTATTTTTTCAGGAGTGTAATCACTTATAAGGTACAGTGGTGCCCCGCATGACGATGACCCTGCAGAACGACGAAACCGCAGGACGATGCCTTTTTGCAGTCACTATAGTGATTCGCAAAACAGGCATTTCAGTGGGGGAATTCCGCTTGACGACGACTTGGTCCGTGCTTCGCGGACCGTTTAATCACAAAACGACGATCTTTACAGCTGATCATCGGCTTCACAAAAAGGCCTCCCACTGTTTTCTGGATCCCTGCTTTGGAAGACAGCGATTAAAAACAGCTGATCGACACTCGCAAAATGGCTGCCCTATGGAGGATCTTTGCTGGACGACAAGGTAATTTCCCCATTGGAGTCACACATTAACTGGTTTTCAATGCATTCCAATGGGGAAACTGTTTTCACATGACGATTTCGCTGTACAGCGATTTTAATGGAATGAATTATCGTCGTCATGCTGGGCACCACTGTAGTACTGCTTGAATCTCTATTCCCTGATTTATCTTTCTATTTACCAGGAGCACCTCTGTCATATCTGGATTAAGCCTCAACTTGTTCACTCTCTTATAGTACATTCCTGACTCCAGACACTGATTTAGCACTGAAATAACTTCATCAGATTTAGATCAAAAGGAGAGAGAGAGAGAGTTGGATGTCATCAACATATTGATGACACCAGTATTCAGAACTTTATAGGACACAAGTCAGAACCCTGAGGGACATCATATACCAACAGTGAAGTTGTTAAACATGAATCCCCAACAGCACCTTCCAACATTCGCCCTCAAGGAAGGACTTGGAAGGACTGTAAGACCAGCTGCACCAAGTCCCATTCTACACAGACAACCCAAAAGGATACCATGACTGATGGTATGGATAGCTGCTGAGAGCTCCAACAGAGCTAACAGAGACATATCTCCCTGTCCAGTTCCCAGCAGAGGTCAGTGTGACCAGTGTTGACTGCATCTCATAGCCAGTTCTGAAGCCAGATTTAAATAGATCTATAGTTACCCAAGAACCTCAACAGTGGTCTTACGACAGCCTTTTTATGGCAGATTGGTATTTTCCATCAAACCTCCTCTGGCTACTTTAATGAGCCAAAATGGGTAAGGATACTACATGCAAGTTGTGGCTTTCACCTCTCCAGGGATCCTGTCCATAAAGAGAGGTTACCTACCTGTAATCATGGTTCTTCAAGTGGTCCTCTATGAATGCACACAAATGGGTTGTTCTGTGCCTGCGCAGAACATCTCAGACGTTTCTAGAGCTTAAAAACACCTGGTTAGTAGGACATTCCCCCGTAGAACGCATGCTCCGCCTGCCCAAGGTCCTCTCAGTTCCCAAAGTCCGCCGCTGTCAAAAAGGTTAAACAAAGACAACAGAGTGACCGACAGAGGGGAGGATGGGCGGGATGTGTTGATTCACCGAGGATCACTCGAAGAACCATGGTTACAGGTAGGTAATCTCTCTTTCTTCTTCGTGGCCTCTGTGAATGCACACAAATGGATGACTAGCAAGCTCACTTACCGGTTGGTGGGCCGTCACTGAAGAAAGGATGTCAATATAGCTCCCCCAAACTGGGCATCATTCTTTGCTCAAACATCCAGTCTGTAGTGTGAGATGAAGGTGGATGAATCGGACCATGTGGCCGCCTGACAGATGTTGGAAATGTCCACACCACACTGAAATGCAGTGGAGGTAGCCATAGCTCTTGTGGAGTGGGCCTTAATGGTGTCAGGAGGCTCTTTCTCTGCAAGCTCATAAGCCAGGGAGATGGCTTGAACTATCCACCAAGACAAGGTCTGCGATGATGCAGGAGAGCCTTTATGAGGTCCATGAAAACAAATGAAGAGCGAGGAGATGCCCTGAAAGTTTTTATTGTGTCTATGCAGAATGCAAGAGTGCGACAAACATCTAAAGTGTGGAGCATGCACTCAAGATCAGAAGTTGGTGAAGGAAAGAGAGATAGTAAGATGATAGGTTGATTCAAATGAAAATTGGATACTACCTTAGGAAGGAATGAGACATCTGGATAAAGTGTGACTTTGTTAGGATGGGATTGTATGTATGGAGAGTCAGATCTGAGAGCAGAAAGCTCACTCACTCGATGAGCTGAGGTGATGGTTACCAGGAAAAGAGTCTTCAATGAAAGAAGTTTGAAGTTAGTGGAAGCCATTGGGTTCAAATAGTGGTTTGGTGAGAGCATTGAGAACAGTTTGGAGAGACCGCTGATGAAGTGGAGGTTGCTGTGGAGGGCAAATATTGTGAAGTCCTTTAAAAAATCTTTTCAAGGTTGGATGAGAGAAAAATTTTGCTGATTCTGCATCTGGTGGTTGCTGAGCTATAACTGCAGTAATATAAACTCTGAGAGTGGCTTGAGAGAGTCCCAGGTTGAAAAGGT